AGTACGTGCAGTGTGTTTTGTCGGCGGTTTATGGCATGCATTGTCGTAAAGACTGCTACTTCCACTGCTACCTGAAGTCAGATGATGAGCTTATTGAGAGGTCTTTGGCTGCCGTCAACAGGAGGTATGCTGTGCGGACCTGAACAAGTTGTCTAAATGTAAGAATTAATCGACTGGTTGTTAATGTGTCGCTATGCACCTTGATTTAGCATTTAAAAACGCAGTAGCAATTCAGGGACTCAACACGGCAGAACATGTTTTCAGTTAGGATTAGAGTAGCAGAAATGATTCTGCACTTCTGAAGATCGGGTTAGTATTGTTCTGGTGACCAGTTCAAAGTTTCCGTGGCAACGATTCATTTCGATTTGAATGGAGCATTGCTCTGATTATCGGTACATGACCCAAACTTCAGAAGTTATGATATATTTAAGTAGAACTTGACTTTTATTTTTCGGTTTCAGTCATGATTAGATGCGCACATGCAAGCTAATCATGACTTCAAAAAAAAAAAAGTTACAGCATATCTACGGAGTGAATGATGATGAGTGGGGCGAAGCTTCGAAGGGTTTTATCAGCAAAACGTGAATCATCCGCAGGTCGCATTTGTCGGTCTGTGCATCTGTCCGCCTGTTGTCTGTCTTTCTGTCAGTCCATCTAGTGAACACTCCAAGTACCGCCATTTCACATCTTTTCATAACATATTCATCATGTACAAATACCGCCATCCAGCGGACATTCCAAGGACTAAAACGAGAGGTGACTACTTCATACAGGAGACACACGACCCACATCTTTAGGAACTTCGCCCCTAAAAAAAATGAGACTGCTCCTGTTCTCTTGACATAAATGCTTTGAATTCTTGGAATAGGTGCGTTTGATTGTTTGTTTTGCAAAACAACCAAACTGTGCGTTTATTTATTTTTTTAACATTGAAAAAAGCAATCATGCGCGCCACAAGACACCATATGTGCACTGCATGTTGGGACATGGCTGTGTGTGATACCGGTCATCCTGCTAGAAGTGTGAATTAGGCATGTAGAGCAGGGCACAAGCCTGATGTGGAATTCTGTATATCAGATGTTGATGTGCCACAGCCGAGCTTTTTTTCACATATAGTGTGGTTCCTAGTTGAAATTACTTCTGCGTTTTTGGATGCTGAATCAAAGCACATAGCAACGTATTACGAAGTCATTTATACATTCTGTAGAAAACAATGGGAGACAACGACGAAGCAGCCAGCAAGGCAAGCCACAGGGTTGGTGATACACGTGCGGGACCTAAGCTTGCGTTTGCTTGAATTTCGGCCTGCTGATGTTCCTTGGCCTTCCAGTACGTTAGTATGTGAGTACATCATGTGACATTTGGTGGAGGCATGTGGATTCCCATACGAACCTGGAACTTCACTCCCAAAAGCTGCCCCCTCTTTATGACACCAACATGGCCCCCGAGATTCTTCCCCAGGCGGAACTTTCAGCCGTCCACTTCACTTGCAGCGCCGTGTACCCTCAACGATATCCCCCCAACCTTCACCCGCTCTGCTGAATCAGACGTGGAAGATTGGTTGGCGAAGTACAATAAAGTCGGCGCCAGCAACAAATGGGACAACCAAAGTATGCTCAACTACGTCATGCTCTATCTCAAGGACGTTGCACAACTGTGGTTTAATAACCACGTGGCTGACATTCCTACATGGTCTGCTTTCAAGACTGCTACTGCAGACATCTTTGGACAACCTGCGGCCCGCATGTTTCACGCCGAGCAGCATTTGCGTCAACGTGCACAGCAACAAGGCGATGACTACGCGGGCTACATAGAAGATGTGTTGCATCTATGCAACCGCGTCAAGTCTGTTGTGCCGGAGGAAAAAAAATACGGCACATTTTCAAGGGTACTGAGGACGGCACCTTTTAGATGTTGCTCACGAGAAATCCCCCCATTCCCTTTACTCGTCTCCTTCTTTCAGGGCATCGACCAGTTGTGTAGGCAGCAAGCGATTGCTCCTCACACCCTCACGACACCTGAAATACTGGCAAGCTTGCAGTTAGCTTCTCATCCTACCGATCAGCAGTCGCTCCTTTCGACAATCAAGGACTTCGTTCTTAAAGAGGTAGCACGCCAGCTGTCACACCTGCCACTGACACATGAACTCCCGCATGCTTTGGCTCTGGACCTTCAACACGCCAAGCAGACCCAAGTTGCTGAGGCGCTCCCACCGATGCATCAGCAACCATCAGTCGCTGTGCCTCTCACGTATGCCTCCGTCGCTGCTCAGCCTACGCAACAGTGCATGCCTTATGCTCAGCCTGCCATGCCATCCCATGTCGTGCCTACAACCCCGAATGCCTACGCAACAGTGCATGCCTTATGCTCAGCCTGCCATGCCATCCCATGTCGTGCCTACAACCCCGAATGCTACACCGTATCTTCGGCTTCATTTTACCATCGCTCAGGCGCTTCGAGGACGCCGGACAATAGGCCCATCTGTTTCGCCTGAGGTAACACTGGACACGTCGCCCGCCACTGTCGCCAAGCTTCTTATCCATTTGACACCGTGGGCAGGCCAGATGCGTCACCGTCAAGGACGCAACCAAGGTACACCACTGACGGTCACCGATCCTAGCCACCGGTCACCATCTCCCCGGCGACGCTCCCTGTTATCTATGCGTCGCCGACCTGCTACAGAAGAGGGAAACTGATCGCTGCAGCTCCGGAGGCAACAGCTGCATACAAGTCAAACTGCAAGGCCTCCATCTCTTTCGCCGAAAAACGTTATATACGTCAATGTTGTGGAGACCACCGCACAAGCGCTTATTGACCCAAGGACGGCTGTTTCTTTAATATGTGAGACGCTATGCCGCAAGTTAAAAAAGGTGACAATGTCGCTCTTGGGCCTGATGTTCTGCACAGCCAACTCGCAGTGCATAGAACCTTTAGCTGTATGCGCTGCGCGTGTCACTATTCAAGGTGAACTTTATGTCATTGAACTTTTTGTGCTGGCGTCATGCTCCCACAAAGTCATTTTTGGATGGGACTTCCTTTGGCGTCATCGGGCCATCATAGATTGCTCACATGCAGAAGTTGCCCTTACACCACTTGCAACTTCTCCTTTCGTGGATTCCCTTCCCGAAGCTTGCAAACTTGTTGTTGCAGACACGAACATAGCACCGAAAATATCCACCCTTGTAGCCCTGACCTGTACGGCTGCTCCTGCCGGAACTGTTTTGTTTACTCCACCAGACGTACAGTTGAACTGCGCTGCAACGAAAGCCGCTACAACGAAACATTCACGATTCCTCATCAGCAGTCCATAGGAGTCAATGCATAAATATTGTCACAACAAACACTTTTTTTTTCAATCGTCCAGCTTCGACAAAATTTTATGATGCAATTCCAGGTTTATATACTAATTTCTATGCAGTAAACCCTATCTTTAACATTTCGATGCATTTTCAGAGCCAGAAAATGCATCAACAAAGTCTAAAACGCGCATTGGCACCACCAGAAACCGCTGGTATACCCCGCTATAGTCCCTAGAATGTACTGGCCAGTATAGTGTAGGCACTATACCGTCGCTGTTCAGCAAGCACTGGGCGCCGCCATTGCTCGACAGCGAAGGCAATGAGACTGCCCTGGTTTTGTTTTGCTACTGGCTTACTTTTGAGCCGCAGATGATCCGAAGCTGAAGCTCAGTCGCTCAGTTCATGTTTCCTTCCTTCATGGTTCACGGTTTTCTTCTCGCAGCTGCTGTGTGAAACAGTGGCACGATGCCTTTTCCGATTCCGATGCTTATCATTATGTTCGCGCTTGGCCAGTGTGGTAACTAATCAGAGCGGCTGTTCGTCCACATTATCAACAAAATCAGCTAGCCGCGAGTGATGGATGATAAGAATGGCATAGAATAATGCAAAAGTCACCGCTTCACGACGCTTCACGATACCCTGCCTCCATCTTGGCGTTGTCGGATACTTTTGACGGTGGACAGCTGCTGGTGTTAACGTGTTAATGCAACTGTTTGGTTCGTTCACAAAAGAGATTTTAGGCGTTATTGCAGCATGCTTTTCACCATGGCCTCGCTATGCATGGGTGAGAATCCCGTCGCGACGCTGCTGGGAAAGAATAGGAAGTAGCGGACATTTTTTTAATTTTGAGAATAAACCTTTTTTCGTTTTGCTAGCTCAGATCAGTGATATTTTTTTTTATTTCACTACAACGAAATTTTCATTTTGAAGAAAATTTTTCCGTACCCTGCCACTTTTGTTGTAGTGGAGTTTGACTGCATTTCTACGCCGCCGTGGCCTACGCTTGCCCTTTGCCGTACTCACCGTGGAATCCGGTGCTGCAATCACGCTCTTGCGAACTCGCTATCGTCGCCAGTTGCTTTACTTTGCGGAGAAAATTTGGGCAGCATACAAAATGTTGACCTCCTGCGCCCTCTGGAGTTTGGCGAAAACCAACCCCATGTTCAGCTTAATGCCATGACGCCACTTGTGGCCACACTATCTGCGCCAGACTTTTTCAACCCTTCTGTTGCCACTGAGCTATCGCCAACACAACAATGTGAACTCTTGTCCCTTCTACGAGAGTTCCGATCTTCCTTCGATTGCACTCAACCATCTTTGGGTCGCACAGCGAACATCATGCACCACATCACGCACCACAGCCGGACAATAGACAGCGAACAGACAATGGTGAAGTGACTGCGGTAAAAAGCATGCCAAGAGTTTCTTAAAGTTTGCCACAGGAGTTATGACCTTGTGACTGGAGCAGGATGAGAGATGAGCTGACAAGCGAAGGAAAAAAGCAAAATGAGCGAGGGCCTCTCTCGGGTCATCAGACTTGCGTAACTCCGCTGTTACGGTAGTGTTTCAAAAAATTCTTACAGATTAGCGTTCATGGTAGGTTCGTGCACAAGTGCAACATTACAACTAAAGTTTCACTTCATGGTCGTTTAGGGGCCCTTTAATGAACAGCAAGCCAAAGAAATGTGCAAAACCTCGTACCTCAAATGCATACTTGCAGGTGCCAATGTGTGATACCTTGACCTGGCATGCCAAGTTCATCTGGCCAACGTCGTCAGTGCTGCCCAGTGATGCAGCTTCCGCCTTTATGATAAATTCGTACTCGTACCAGTGTCCCGGCACCAGCATGTTTTCTGGAAGCATGGCATTGGAAAGTTAGCTGTCTTTGCCAAACAATATTGGATGCTTGTGATAGGTTTTATAAATGGGTCGACAACAACACCCCACTCTTTACTGAGAGATTTTTCACACTGTACCACAACACTACTAAGTAAATGCAGTTGTGTTTCAATTTAACAAGTCATCAGAAATATTGAGGAAGAGTACAGAAATGTTGCTTGAAAATAGTGGTAATGAACATTACATGCTTATAATAAACATAAGATATAATAGAGAAACTTTTATATAACTTGCAAGTTTACATAACGAGATTCACCAGTGCAAAGTGTAACTTTTGAGCCTGTACAGAAAAATGAATAAGTAATCATGATGACGATCATCGTGTAGGACAGGAGTGATGCATTAATGGAGAGGCTGAATGACGGGAGGGCGCCCAGCGAGGTGAAACGGAGACTACGCTTCAATGAGACTGACGGGAGACTGATCTCCCAGGCCGTTTTATGGAAGTGGAAGAAGGATGATTGATCAGTGAGACAGGGATCGCACGACAAGCATGGCGACACCAGGTTGGTGGCAACAAACAGGCATGGGGGAGGCCTAGCTCTACCCGGTGGCATGCACCCGAACTTTTACTGCACTGGTGATTTTACATGCCACGCGACACAACAATGATAATAATAACAATAGTAACAGTAATCGAAGAAAGGAAGTCGTGCTTAAAAATGTTATCAGCACGACTGGTCTGGCTACCCATGTGTCCTTCCTGTGAGAGAAATAGGAGAATGCATAATTTATTTTTGTTCTGAGGCTCCTTTATTCTAAATAAAGTTAGAACATACTAGAGTAAATTTTTCAATTTTCAATTGCTAACATAAATGACCCTCAACTATTGCAAAAGGAATTAATTGTTGCGATGAACAAACCCTGTTTGTCTTCGTTTGTTGTATCTTATAGTACGTTGTCACAACTTGGCAGTGCATTTAGTATGCCACCGACTAGCCTCTGTGGAAGCTTCACTGGTGGCAGTTGATTTAGATGATTACATAACAAAATTTCTTTATATGCTTTGTAATAAAGGGGTACTGGCACAAAAATTTAGGGCTCACGTTTTTTTTTTGCTGTATTGTGTGACAGATGATTAATTACAGACTCATCATTAAACTTCTCAAGATCACAACACACAGTTAAAACCTACAAAAGTGGTCAAAATTTTTTCAGCAGAGGCTTGAAGTTACTCACGTACATTCAAAACATCCTGAGTAATGTTATTTCACCTAAATAAAGATCAATAAATGTATATCTCAAGGATATAACAATGAGTAGCCTGGATCACTTTGGAAGTTGTAAACAGTAAAAGAAAAAAGCTTGCAACAAAGTGTACTTTTAGAACAGCGGTTGAGATTTCTCCACTATATGCTGTGTAATGTTTACCAAACATATTCAAAACATTCAGCTTCATGTTATTTGACTTATACAAAGCTTAACAAAGGTATAGGAGGCATAAACTTGACGTCATGTGCGAGGAGCAGTACCGGCGGGGTCGCCATGTTGCAGATCCATGCACCAGCCGCACGCAAAAGAAGCATGCAGCACTTGTTTGAGCGTTCTTTTTTTTTCCCCAGTTTGGAAGGAAAATATAGGGAGCCATCAGGAAAGTGCGAATAATTGTGCTGGAGAGGCTGGAAAGCTATGCGAGCACAGATTTCGCTTTTGCAGCAGGTCTGTCTCACTGTTACAGACTCAGCAGCAGTGGCTACACAGGGGGAAAAAAGCATGTCTGTTGCCGGGTGAAAAGTTCGGTCGCTTCATTTAGAGCCCCTCTTCAGCATGGGCTGAACCTGATTTGTTTTTCACATGCTTAACTGAGTGTTTCAGTGTTTACCTTTCATAGGTACGGTTACCTTTCATAGGTGTGTGAGCACACCTACACAGGATAACCGTGGCTGCACAACTGCAAGGGCATTTTGATATCACCATTGTACACACAGCGTGTTGAATGCACATTATGTTTTATTGCAATAGCAATTATATGGACACTCTTGGCTGGATTTCGCCACCGGCATTGATGTCATGCACCGTATATGTATACGTATCTTTATATTTGAAAATGTAAGAAAAAAAAGTCAAGTAAAAAGACTCGCGTGTGTGGAAACGAACGTGGGACCTCCACGTCGTGAATGCGAGGCGTTAACCACTGAGCCACCGAGGGGTACCGTACCCTCCTTAAACGTTCAAACGACAAGCTATTTATATCTACCACTTACCGCTGTTGGTGGGCATCTCGGGTGGAAAACTATCGTGTTTTCAGCATTATTAGCAAGACGGCACAATGAGCGTGCGACGGCTCTTATCTCTCACGCATACTTTGGCCTGCGAAGAGGAGGGGAGTGGATGATCTCTCGCGCACCCTTATTTCTCGGTGGGTAGGATCATACGTCTTGGCTGGCGATGGCCTTGCACTGGAATGATTGTGTTGTAATTACGGGGAGCACAAAGGTCACAGCAATCGTTGCACAGCCTCCGTTTGCGAAAAGGGCACGTTTTTTCGCAAACTAGAGTGAAAGCGAAGTAGCAACTGAGACGCTTATTTCGGTTCATCTGTACCTGTGAGTACGTTTCCTGCGTCATTTGTGTGTGAGAAACGCGGGGCACGTTTCGATCTGCTTGCCATTCTGCGCATGACATTCCAATGGTTGCTATCGCATTCATTGCTTCACCTTTGCAGCAAAGCTGTGACTTTTTGTGTGGTTTCTGACACGTCCATCACTGCTGCACACAATGACCAGTCATAAGTCAGTGGAACATCATACAGTAGCCAGAAGCCGCACCAAAACCACAATGATCCCCTTGGTTATGTTTTCTTGGCGAGTGGCGTGGTGCAGAGTGGTCAGTCATGCCCACCTGTGAAATTATGGGTCTCCGTGCGATTGGGACGGCGGAGAAAAACCTGTTGGCCCAACATCTCAGAGATCATGCGCAGCAGTTTTTAAGAACAAAAAATTAAAGAGCATCGGGTTCTGCATAAGTAACACATGTGACAACAGTTACTTCACCCTCATCCTGCGCATTCTTTTCAAGCATCCTTCTTGGTGTAGCATGGAGCAAGCGTTGAGCAGTGACAGTTGTTCGTTATCATTCATCCTGTGCGTGTTCATTTCGAGCATCCTTCGTGAGCACTGCATATACTGAGTTGCTAACTGTTGTTTGTGTAACATAATTGCTATCACTTCCACTGCTTCACCACATAACTGACTTTTTCTCTTTTTGTTTTCACATGCAGATTTGCAAAACAGAACTATGTGCGCCCGCACCGCATTACTGCTCTTCAAATGAGGAGTTTGAATGGTTCACACGCTCATCCATCGTGTTTACGAGGCTGTAATATCGATACAAGAGTGCACTGCCAAGAAAATTCAATAATTTTCAAGGACTGAAAAAAGTTCCATGACCTTCAAGGGCCTTGAAAATGCATTTTTTTAATAATTCATGGGTTTTAAGGATTTCAAGGACCTGTGCGCACCCTGCTTTAAGAGCATGGTCGCGATCACTGGTGCCTGTTATCTCGGCAAGCATCAGTGCACTTTTAAGGCGTAGAAACTGTGTGAAAGCAGCACTTCTCTCTGGAGCAGCCATATTTGCTTACACCAATGTTTTGTATGAGTACCGCGATAACGGATCCAAAAAAGTTGGCTACCAGCCTTACTTTGGATAACATTACAATTTGTTGCTCTCGCATCGCATTCAACGCACGATCGTGCTGATGCCATAGCTAATCAAAATTATGAAGGCTACGATTCTTTGAATTCACAAAAGTGTGAACAGAAAGGCAAGATGAGTCAATCTCTGAAGATTCATAGTCGTAACCATGGTCTCGGAGAGTTTCCATTAGCGCCTAATTTGACATTCTCTCGGTAGTGACGACATGCTAGTCCACATTAAAAAAATTTTTAGAAAAGGCAAAGATGAACGCTATCGAAGGCCACAACATGCGTGCGCAGTGAAATCATGCGTGTGTGCAAGTTAGGCGTCAAAAACGAAGAGCGAACCATGCAAATACTGTGGAAAGCTATTCGGTAAAGCACCCTCCATATTTAGTGCAGCCCCACATATACGATGCTATTTCACAAAAGTAGTTTTTCGGTTTGGACGGAGAGGGCACATCCGCCCATGCACCCACAGTGGCAAAAACGGTGACAATGTCGGCTCATGGAACACAGGCCCACCTCAAGCACACCCGCATGCAATAACAAGTGCTCGCTCTCACCTCAAAGTCTGCGGGGCCACGAGCGTACTGCCGCTGTTTAGAACCATTAAAGATACATGCTCATGCCAAAATGAAAAAATTCGGGGCAAAACTCATAGATTGTTCATGGCGAAAGTTTGTTATATCAAGGTTGCCTCTTGATATTACTTAGTTACATAGAGGTCGCAATTACATGTGCTCCTATGGGGTAATGACAAGGAGAAAAAAACTTCGTTATGGCGAGGAACTCATTATGTGGAGGTTTAACTTTATAAGCAGGTTTAGCTGTATCAATCAACAACATATTTCTGTTGTATATTTTTTATAATTTTCTACTCTGAATCTGAGGGAAACATGATGAAAAAAAGGCCCATTAATAAGATTGTTCTGAGCTTCACTTGATATGGCGATATCAGTCTTCTTTGCATTTAAGAAAACACAAACATTCTTTTTTGATCTTCGTAATGACATTCTTCAAGCCTCGCATGCTTCCTGCAACTAATGCAGTGTCGTATACATTGGTTACATTCATTCCGGCAATTTTCATTTCTAGTTCCCAGTCTTCAAGGTCACATTTTCAAAAAGCATATGTAAAAAATATATAATTATGTACTGTACATAAATATACCTACATTAATGTATATTATGAGGAAGAGCTTTATTCGAGGCGAGCTCGAGCTGGCACACACTGATGATGACATCTACAGGTGAGGAAATTATACAAATGATGATGACACGTCCAATTGATAAAGAAGAGCCGGTGACTGCGCT